TAATCCGCAAAACGTCAATTTTAGGTACCGAACACTGTCACAAAATAGCGTCTTATTCAGGTGGTTGGAGAAAAAATTATTTATTCACTACTAGCATTACAACGTATAATTAGTAGGCTGGTATTCGATCCTAGATTTTATTTTTCTCTACCTCGTGGATTATTTCTCTCCTATGATAATGAATTTGACATTTGGGTTGCCTATAATTAGGGGCAATAAATAAATAACTATCGTTGTACGTTATGTTAATGAAGTAAACAAGGATTTTATTGAACTGAACACTTACTTTTGAAAATTATAATTAATCACACAATTAATGTACGCGATATTCTTCGAAATACACCAACATAACATTTTCACTATCTTGTGAAACACATTTTGTTTGGCACCATTCTTTAAAATTTAAATAAATTTTATTGTAATAATGTTTTGATTTTTCAGGCAAGAGGTCGTTAGCGGCCACGCTTTTTGCTGCCTCTCGTCTGTCTGGAGGAGTGCACGAAAATTCGCTATCCATATTTATTTAACAGCAATTAGCGAAACACGCAAAATGCGACTTACAAATAATGTAATGTCAAAGACACAGCCTTCTTGTAAAAGTACCTTAATCTATTATAGGTACTTAAAATCGCCAAAATCGTGTTTTCTAATGATATTTAAATACTATGCGATCAAAAATGAGTTGCTGTCGAGTTACCTTTGGAATTTTTGTTTACATGGGAAATCGTACTTAACTTGAACTTCCAAAGGCGACTCGACAGCAACTCATTTTTGATCGCCCGTTATGTGTTAAAACAGTTCATCTGCTAGTAGTGAATAAAATAATATATAAACCACGGTAGAGAAGACTTTTCATGTTCATCGCCTCGCTTCTAAGAAAATCAACTTCTCTACCTTGGTGTATAATTACTATTTTTATTTTTTTTATTAAGATCGTTTATAATTTTGTATTGCTGTCTGTCTGTCCGTCTGCCTGTCCGTCCGGCTGTCTGCCTGTCTGTCAGCCTGTCCGTCCGTATGTCTGTCCGCCTGACTGCCCGTCTGTATGTCCGCCTGTCTCTCCGTCCGTCTGTCCTTTCGTCTGTCAGTCCGTCTATCTGCCCGTCTGTCTGTTCGTTATGGGGAGTTTCCATTATGTAAAAAAATTTTTTTCAAGATGATGTCATTCAAAAAGAAAGAGCGTTTCGCGTTGGCTGTCATCTGCCTCTCGCACCGCTTGCCTAATGTTCGCGACTTGTTGATGTAGACTTTCGATTCTAGGTACTCCCACAAGAAAAAAATGCCTGGGCATTTTTGATTCAAAACATAGATTTTTGAAGTATTGCCGTACGATAAACCCATTGTCGAGACAGTCCACACCAGGATGGATGCTTGAAACTCCCCCGTCATCATCAGCGTTTCTTGGCCAGTGGCGTACCTTCATTGTACCTAATGTAATAATTATATAGGGCTAGGATTTTGATGATTTTGTATCTTTTTTTCTGAAAGTCTAAGACATTGCTCCGTTATATATAAACGTGTTTCAGGATAAATTGAATCAAATGACAGCAATTTGTTGGTGCATTTTTTGCCCATTTTTGAGGAATGGGACATTTTTTGGAGATTTTGTGTGTTTTACTTTGAATTATTTGCACTTCTGAGGAATAATGCTAATTTGTTTGACATTTTACGATATTTTTCTTGGCGAGTTTATAAACGTTTGTTAAAGTTTTATTTTTCATGCGGTCTACATTTCTACAACAAAATACAAATAATATTTTTCTTTTCTCGGTAATTCCGGATATTTTTACCTGTTTAGAAATAAAGTCTAAAACCTCTATTATAAGCTAAATGCACAGTTAATGTTTTCTTGGAACGTGCCTTAAGTTATACACACAAACGAATACCCATTGAGGGATTAAATTTCTTTGGGATGCAATCAAGTGGGTCACCTATTTTCTAAGACTGGTTTGCAGAGGGTGGAAATCAACTAACAATAAAATTCCTGCCTTATGTTACCTAATTGCTTCATAAAATAATTTCACCGTCTTATTCAGTTTGATCAATAAAATTTATGTCATCTTTTTAAATTGAACTTCGCGCTCTTGTTATATAACTATTAAATATCTTAACAAATAAACAATTTGAGATTGCGCAGACACAAAGGTTGTAATGCGCATGCGCAATCTTTTTTTGCATCTGCATAGTTGCCTGAAGTTTAAGGAATATTTACAGAAAACCGCACATTCATATGTTCTTTGTAACAAGAGTTATAAGAGAAACCTTTTTCGGAGGTTTGGGCAGTTTTTGGGCTGTAACTTATAGGGCCGTTGGTCTACGTAGCCGAACAACTATAGCGACCTTTCATATATCCTGAAGAACATGTGTATCAATTTTCAAAGCGATCGGACGTCTCTACACAAAGTTATCGACTTATCGTGCACACGGACAAACAGGCGGACAGACAGACAGCAATACAAAATTATAAACGATCTCGTGGATCGTTAATAATTCACTGACTGACGTGCTAATTTATTTCCGCTGTAGATAGGTATCCTTGAATGTACTGTTACTGATAAGCGATTTGCGAATGGAAGACCGAAATACGCTTCTAGGTATATTCTATAAAGGTGTATTCTTGGTATTTTGGTGTTTTCACATCGATATGAAAATAATAAAAAATAATGCTTGACGACAATCAAATGGGCTACTTGCAAGGTTTTGTTATTAGCAAAAAATGTGCACAGGTGGCAAGTACTATACACGCCATACATGAGGCGAATACTAATTTTTGAAAAAGATCATTTGTTTTTAAACAAATAGCAAAAACAATTACTGGGAATCCCTTTAAATATGACGTCAGCCGCAAACGCCCTGCCATTGGTGCGACGTCACAACTGTGGTCGCCATATTTGTTTACATTCCGTGTTCGTAGTTCCAGGCTTGTAGAGGTCCGCTCGGCCAGATTTGCTTTGTCTCTTGTGCGCAAAAACGATAAACAGTGTGTGTGTGTGTGTATTCAAACTAATAGTAGATAATGGCCGATCCTGGCTTTGTCAAAGCTCAATCGGACAATCTTCCGCACGTCGACGCCTTAATGGTAGCCGAATTTTTCGCATCCAGCGACAAATACACCGCGGCAGAAATTAGAGGACTGAAAGCTATGCGGTAAGTTTTGAGATATGGCCATTTCAGCTAAACTGAGATTTTCTTGTTCGAACTTTCGCAGCATTTGTGGGATTTTAGTCCAAACGACACCTCCTAACATAACCTTAACTTTTAACTTTTGCAAAAGCTAAATTTACCTCTACGAAAACGTATCTAATTTTCGAGGTATGTCCATGAGTTGACTACTCTCAGTTGTTGCGAATGTATAGTGAACTTGCAAAAGCCACCGAGCCTGTTAAATTCATAAATATGTAAAATGATAACTTTATTACAGTGCTGGTCGTGAAAGTTACGGTGATGCAGCTGTTGGTTACGTGCAGATACAACGCAGTCAAAATGTTTGTACGATAAAGTGTCGGCTTTGCCCTGAACACAGAGTAAGGCAAAAAAACTACAGCGTTGTTGTTGTCATCGATGAAGTGGAGGAGAAGATCCTGTCTGCGGATTGTCAAGATTGTGCAGCTGGAGCAGGTACGAGAAAAGCGATTAAAAGTGGTTGTGAAGTCAATTAAATTGAAGTCTAGATTGAAGTGCTAACTATTCTTGAAGCTATTACTGATATTTTCATCTCAATCAAATTTCTAGATTAACCGATATTCCATGTTTTTGGACTTCTTATGCATGCGAATAATGCGATACTATTAATTAGCCTTGACAGAGTCTACAGCTTTATGAATTTTTAATGTAAAATTTAATTTTTTTGCAGGGGGTTGCAAGCATGCAGTGGCCTTTGTCATGTGGTTGCATAGACGTAGCGAAGAACCTTCTCCAACTGATGTTGAGAGCTACTGGAGAAAATCAAAGTTGGCAGGAGTTGGTACCTCACTGAAATATATAACGGTGAAAAACTTTGGAGCTGCAGAGGATACTCCTGCAGGGTCTTCAGTTGGAGCGCCCCTGCTAGCACGCTTGATAGAAGGGAGTAAGCAAAAATCAGTTACAAGTCAACTGCTAAAGTATTTCTCCGATGGTGCAAGTACAAATAATTTAAACAACATGGGGGTGCATACGCTTGCAGTCAACTTCATCCTAGGTGGAGGGCAAGGAGTAGATAATTTTTTTACTTTTTGTGAAGAAAGAATGACTCCAGAAATATGCAACAAATGTTTTATTGCTACCAAAGAGCAAAGCAGTAGTGTCTTATGGCATGAATTGCGCTATGCAAGAATCACCGCATCAAAGGTGTACGAAGCTGCAAGATGTAAAACACTATCTGGCTCATTAGTGGAGTCCATATTTGGGGCAAAACTAAAAGAAACTGCAGCTATAAATCGAGGTAAGCTACTTGAAGATGAAGTTCTGTCAGTTTTACAGAAACAGCTGAATATGAAATTCAGCAAAGTTGGTTTGATGCTGTCAGGAAAGTATCCGGTACTTGGTGCTTCACCGGATGCTGTTAATGAGGAATTCGTAGTGGAAGTTAAATGTCCCTCTAGTGAAAAGGCTGTCAATGCTTATGTGACAAAAGACAATAAAATAGTAAATAAATATAGGGCACAGATTCAGTTACAAATGCTAGTAAATAATAAGAAAAGTGGTATATTTTGTGTCGCAGATACAAACTTTGAAAGCAACAAAGTTATTACTGTGGTAAGAGATGAATATGATCACGATTTTATTCAACCGATAATAGAAATGGCAGTTGATTTTTGGAAAGCTGCAATTTTTCCTAAAGTTTTAAATAGCCTTCCACCATTGTAAATATGTATACCTTTATTATATCAGTGTAAACCATTATTTTTTGTAAATATGTTACGTTATTGTTCTTTTCTTTTTATGACATGGAATAAATTGTTATATTTATTTTATTATCTAATTATGTAACACAATACACAACACATTCATTACTCGCTTTTTTATTTAGAAGACACAAGAAACTCACAAGGTTATACTACCTATACATATATGTAATGTACTGCCTACATAATATATCATTTATCTCCAACTATTAATGGTCCCTGCAAATTTATTAACCCACATGCAATTTTCATGATGTCATCTGTATAAGGAATTAACCTAAAATGAATGCATGAATGCGGTTTCAACATTCTAAACTCTCTTAATCGCCTTATCACTCGTTCTATATGGATACGCAGGCTAGCTATTTTTTTAGTTTCCAAAACTTGACTCTTACTTAACTTTTCATCTATTCTTACACTGGGGGGCCTAACCAATACACATTTTCGTTCAGTCAGTAATTTGTCTATATGTTTGAAACCCCTGTCTGCCATCACATAACATCCTGGTACAAGTTTATCTAAAAATCCCGACTCCTCAACTATAACAGCATCGGAGGTTCGACCTCCAAAACCGTTGGATATAAAATTGACAATCCCATCGGGAGTAGATGATACCAGGTATTTGACCGTATTGCATTTCTTATATTCCGACCATGTCAGAGATTGTTTGACAGCATCTTCCGGTTTCTGGATTTCTATTTCCAAGCAATCAATAATTGCTTGAACTTTCCCGTACCTTGCTCTGAATGGAATTGGCAACAGTTTAGCAATCTTTTCTGGGCTTGGCCAAACAATCAATCCTGATACAAATTTCGCAATTGGTAACAGGGATTTTGAGAAAAGTCTGCTTGCAGTGGCTTCAGATACACCAAAATCATCTCCAAGTTCAGCAAATGTCTGATCTACTCTGATTTTTTTTAATGTTAAGTAGATGCTTGTGGTGTCCAACCCGGTCAAATTCTGCAGCTCCACAACAATAAAGAAGACATCGCCTGGAATCCCTAAATAGCGTCGTGGGTTCTTTTCAATGATGGTAACTGTGTGTCTCAAAGAGGTCTTTTCTTTAAAGCTGGTTTCAATTTCTAAAGAATCGTCCTCTGATATACAAGCTGGACTCTCATATTCCGAAGTCTGTGATGAATGTGACTGCGATTCGGAAGATGACAATTTTACAGGTATACTATTTTTCACACGACTAGTTTTGCCTGGTAGAGTAGGAAGACTTTCGACAGAATCAAGTTTGATTGGGGAACAGCTTTGACATATTGTAGACATCTTGATGTTACACTGAACATATTTGCTCCGATATTGGGGCTTTATGTTAACTTGAATACCAATTTCTTTGAACAAGGGTAAACCCTCACATGACACGTCTAAAGGAGTACTCTGATGTTCCATGGCTTCTGGTGTTTCTTCCGCGGCAGATGTTGATGTACTTGGACTTGGTTCTGTCATGGCCTCGTTAATTAGATCCCGTCTAATTCGTTTAAGGGCCGCACTTCGTGGCCCACCTTGCGGAAAACTTCTCTTTCGATCTTTTTGGCACGCAAATAAGTGTGGCACAACGTCTTTCTTCATAAGTTTTTTCACTCCTGTGAGTTTCCACTCCATATAGTTGGCCATATCCTCTTCCAACTGAAAATGTAACCCTTGTGGTAGTAAAATAATATATTATGGAGTATACTTACTTTAAAATGATCTTCACAAACAAATAAGACGGTTGATACAGCAAATTCCTTTGGATCGCGTCTGACAGCGTTTATCCACAGCCTTCGCATCTTTCCCGACTTAGGCACATTAATAAAAGTCTTTTGCGGTGTTTTCACCGACGTGTTCGTACACATTGGCACTATGCACCAGTGATATACCATTTTCACATCTAACAACCTCAATTTCGCCGGAAAAAACTTGGAGGAAAAACGTAAGCAACAACAAACGCATACGCTACGTCGTCGCATTGAAGTATACATGGAAGTATACCGCCACTGAACTTTTACACAGTTGTGACGTCACAACCATGCCTCGGCAAAATCTAGCGTTTAAAATGATTTCCAAGCGCGCGAAAAACTTATCTTTAAATAATTTAAAAGTTTGTGTGTTTAGGATTGTGAAATTTTGCATACTGGTATTTCTTTATGTTCCGCATTGATTTATCACATAAATAAAAAATGGAAACGTGGCGCAATTCAGTTAAGGATACGGAAACTGTAATACACGAGTGGTACGAAAGAGAAAAGCAATTTGATCTTGAAAACGTTGCTACTATTATTATAAACTTTGAACACGAAAGCAGTTCCGATGATTCCGATTAATTTGAATATCATCCATCACATAGGTAACCTGTAAAATTTTATATTTAGTACTTTCTCTGTAAAAGAGATGCTACATTTGTACAGTTCATAAGTTATTAAAGTGTATTGTATGTATATTGTGGTTCCAATTAACGAAATGAATAATAAAAATTATTTTTATTTTATTTAAGGTGTGGATTGTTCACACAAACAATGCACTGACTTATTGACAAGTGACATAACCTAAATCGCTCAAAACTAGATTTGGCATTATTGTATAGTAATTACGTCATAGAAAATGATGACGTGCAACGGAAGTTATACGGAATAAAGTGTATACCTAAATTACCAACTTTCAATCATGGTCAATTTTAAGCGTTCCAATAATAGCCATATCATGAAAATTTGATATTTATGAAATGTGATTAATGAAACTTGTTTTTTTTTCAGAAACAATCGAATCGAAGGATTGAAACCTTCCCGCGTAAATTTGGATTTGCAGTGGGCACGCCTCCACAACCAATTACAATCGAATGTCGCTAGCTAGGGCACATCTTTGTTACAAAAAAAATCTCGCGCGCGGAGCACCTGTTACCAGCGACTTGATATTTGCCGTTAGCTGATTAATTGAAGTGCGCAATGCAACCATATCGGCCTGCGGGGGCGCTGTTTTGAATGGATGCGTCACGACTGCCAGGTTGGAGCTGGTTGGTGGTTGATGTGGACACCACAGTCGGGTTGAGGTCCTCAATTTCGTCGGCGGCAACTGCCAATTTCTCGAGATTGGAAGCTTTGAATACTTGCAGCAAACGTCGCGTGGTTGGCGGCAATAAGGCGAGCCATTTTACACGAAGGACATCGCCAAAGCTGCATTTGCCGTAGTCGCTGTGTGGGCTTGCGGTCGCCCAGATCGAGACCTGTAAGAGCTTTGTGCAATTGTCTATCAGAGGGGTCCATCAAGCGTGCAAGTATCGCGGATTTGAGGGCGGTATATTTCTCTGCAGTCGGGGGCGAACACAAAATGTCTGCAACTTCGGATTGGGATCAAGCTTCGCCATAGCTAGATTGTATTTTGTAGAGTCTGTCGTGATACGGTGTACAGCGAAGACGATTTCGACTTGTACGAACCAAAGTTCAGGATTCGCGCGCCAGAACGGTGGCAATTTACAACGATCCACGGAAACGGCGGTTGGCGAATCGACAAGATGGCGTTTTATCAGAAAACCGTAGACAATTGCGCGAAGGCGAGATAACCGAACTTCATTATATATATATATATATATATATATATATATATTATATATTATATTTATATATATATATATATATATATATAATGATATCTTTTACTTTTGTTATTTAACACGCGAACAAGAACTTCTCCCCAGCACAGACGAGAGATTCGACTCTGTTCTCAGTTACCTGTTAACTTCTAACCGATAGCGGGTCAAACCAAACTGAACTGCAAAATTTTGAATAATTAAAATGGACCTTGGGCAAGCATCCAATAAAAACAGGTAAATTAAAAATGAAGTCGTTAGAATGAAATACACAGAAATTCATATTAATTTCTAACACACAAGGAAAATGATACAAAAACACAAAAACAAATTATTACAAAAAGACTAAAATAAAAACTTAATTACTTACATTACATGTCCGGGAATTGTAATCCAAATAACAGATATCCGTACACAAAACACAAAATTACAAATTTCAATTCCACAATTACACTTTGCACACGTTCAAAACACTTATGGGGGTGCCGACAACCTCTTTTCTTTGAAGCACCTTATTAGATAGATGGTCAACACTTTACGACACTCCTCCAGCGCGAACAAACGAGAAACGTAGAATAATAATTAGCCACGAACTCGGCTTCCGGCTTTACAAAATTTGTATGTCCATTTAATGGAACTCATTCTATCTTCAAACTTAAAAAAAACGTAATACTGCCCTACTGCTAATTCTCATCCATTGGCTGCGCGTTAATTCTCAAATTTTCTAAGTGCAAATCATTGACACTCGTTATCGATTTCCCGCGTTTTCCGAGTTCAAAATCGAAATGACTACCGCGTCAATTCGCATCGAACCCTTATCCGCGGATAATTACGAAACGTGGCGAGTTCACGTAGAAGCGTTTCTTAAGAAAAACGGCACGTGGAAATATGTCTCGGGAAAAATATCGAGGCCAATTCTTGATGAATCAAAATCAGCCGCAGACAGAGCCACAGCGCAAACTCAAATAGATGAATGGGAAGAAAAGGATGATCTAGCGAAATCTGATCTCATTTTATCGATTAGCGCACCCCAGTTGAAACACGTCCGAAATTGTGTCACATCCCACGATGTCTGGCAAAAACTCGAATCTATCTACGCACCACGAGGTCCAACGCGGAAAGCCACCCTCCTAGAGGAACTACTGTCCGAACGATTGCACGAAGGGGACGACGTCCGGGAATACTTGTCGCGATTTATGGGCATTGTCGACAACCTCCGCCAAATGGATGTCGACATCAATGGCGAATTGCTGACAATTATGTTGCTACACAGTTTACCCAGTAGCTACGACAATTTTTGTTGTGCAATCAAATCGCACGATTCTCTTCCGGACATCGACAAATTGATGGGAAAGATTACCGAGGAAAGCTGTTCAAGACAATTCAAAGAAAAGGACAAAGGGACCAGCGCCATGTTCTCAAAACGCCAAGAGACAACCACAGCGTCGTCTAGAGCAAAGGCAAACAATAAGTCCAACGACGGCGCAGGCAAGTCATCAAAAAAATGCAACTATTGTCGCAAAAAGGGCCACGACATAAGCGATTGTTTCAAGAAGAAGGTGAACACCAACGCAAACAAAGTCGAAGAGGACCTTTTTCTATCTTGCGACAGTGCAGATTTTTCGGGCAACGCCATACAGCGCGCCGCGGCAAACACTTCCAAATGGTGCCTCGACAGTGGTTGTACCTCACACTTGTGCAATGACAAATCACTGCTGTGTAACGCGCGCGAAACTATCGGCGGACTCAACCTAGCCAGTGACGCGACCGCGGAAGTGAAAGCCCGAGGCGACGTACGCATGGTGACATCTAACGGAGGAAACCGACGGATCTTTGGTGCTACAAAACACACTATTCGTGCCCACGATGCGCACAAATCTCCTATCCGTCGCAAAAGGTGGTAGACAAGGATCACACTGTCACTATTCGCCAGTGACGCGAAACAGGTGCATGGTGACATGTCTACAAAGTGCTACAAATCAAGTCGCAAGGATCACACTGAAGTTGCGTATGCTTGACCGGGGAAGGCAACTTATTCTTCGTACGTGAACAATCGGGTACCGCGTGTGTAGCGGACTCAGCTGAATACGACTTCAACGAGTGGCACAAACGTCTTGGTCATTTAAACCACCGCGACATGATCACAATGATGCGCGACAACGCAGTCACGGGTCTGAGGTTCAACGTCAACGCCACATCTACGGCATGCGAGTCCTGCAACGCCGGCAAAATCTCCAGCGCTAATTTCCCAAAGAAAAGCGAAGGAGCTTCTGCACTCCTCGAGATCATTCACGCTGACCTATGTGGTCCGATGCGAACGCAATCACACGGTGGCGCCAGGCTTTTGCTCACTTTTACCGACGACTACAGTCGTTGGACCGAGATCTATCTGCTACGCCACAAGTCCGAAGTGCCTGCCAAGTTCCTGGAGTTTAAAAACTACGTCGAAAATAGGACAGGTGCAAAAATCAAAACATTACAGAGTGACAATGGCACGGAGTTTGTAAACAGGTCCATGGACGAAATCTTGAAGAACTCTGGCATTCAACGTAGATTTACCGTACCCTACACGCCCCAGCAAAACGGAGTAGCGGAACGCAAAAATCGGACTCTCATTGAGGCCGCCCGCACCATGCTCGTCGAATATGGACTACCAATGTCTTATTGGGGAGAAGCAGTAGCTACGGCCAATCACGTCCGCAATCGCTGCATTACGAAGATCCTAGGGTCCAAAACCCCCTACGAACTCTGGACCGGCCGAAAACCCGACGTCTCCCATGAGTTGCGATTTTGCATTAAGTTTTAAGTGTGCAGGGATACATTTTAGGTCACTGAGCAAGGAAAGAAGGAACAGTTTATCGTCGTCGACTTCAAATTCATTTTTTTCTTGTTCCTTTGTTAGGTACTTTCTTTTTAAAATCTGAAGGAGCTCTTCGTCGGGGTGTTTTCTTTTTTTCTGGCTTACATCAGACGACTTTGAATTTTTCTCCACTACTTCTGAAATTTCTTCTTCATCATTTTCATGATCAGCTGCATCAATTGTATCTTCATGTGAAGATACTGCCGCATTGTTAAGGAGCCGAAGGTGCTCGAAAAAGATGTATTTTTTTCTGGGTTTTGCTGCAGATCCAGATTTAAATTCTTTTTTCTGTTTTGCCAATTCCCTTGAGTATGAATCCCGCAGACTTTTCCATTTCCGCTGGTACGTGTTACCTGTAAAAACAGATTCGGATTAGCTTGTCATTATTCATGGAACACACATGTTAAGTAAAAAACCCGGTTGTGGCATTTTTCCATCGTTAGGAATACAAATTTTGACCTATTACAGCGTGCAATGTGGCTTTAGGGCAAATGCATACGTATCATAAAGGTTGTTTCATTGTCT